CGGGGGCGGGGGCGGGCCCTCCCCCGGCGCTGTGAACTTTAGCTGGGCCGCCGCCTGTCAGCCCCAGAAAGCGTTAAAGGTGCAGCAGCCCGCGCCAGCCTCCGCAGCCGCCTTTGTACGCGTGATTTATGACTTCAATCTTGGTTCACCGAGAGTTCACACGGTTTTCGCTGCTGTTGAAGGTTAAAAGATGGTCTTCGCTTGACAAGTGGGACTATTGAAAATTCCTTCTTCTTCGTTCTTTTTTTTTTTTAAAGAAGCGAAAAGCGGAGGCTCAGGAGAGAAAAATTTGGGGGGAGGGGACAGAGGTTGCAGGTGGGACAAAATGGTAGGCCAGGAATGTTCGCCTGTCTATATTTAGAATTTTTGGTAGCTAACATTTGTATGTGTGTTGGTGTGGGGGTAAAGAGTAGGAGGGAGCTAGGGAAGGGGTGTGAAGTTCTGTCATATTTGGAGGCCAAAGAAGTAACGTTATTTTGGGGAGGGGGGAAAGACTCGTGCTTCCACTGTTAATCACCTGGGTAACTTGGGTTAAAGCCCTTAGCGCATCCTCCTCTTGGGACCAAAAGTGGCTCAGTACAAAGGGATAACTCGGGAAAGGCACGTTGTGCTGTTCTTGTGGTAGTAGTCACCTCCCAAGTGTACCTGGCCAATTACCCACCTCGCCTGGGGAACAAGGTCCCAAGTGTGCTCTTGTACCCCCGGATTTGGACAGGGGTATTTCTGGGTCCCAGTGTTCCAACCTACTTCCTACAGCCTGTAGGTTTGGCCTAATAGGTGTGTTTGGTGCATATGAGGAGAGGAAGCCCATAAGGCTGGGCCAACTCCAAAGCCCCTTAGTCATGATTCAGTCTCTCTTCCTTGTAGCATTTTGGAGAAGATAGTACCACAGCAGATATGGTGGGTTAGCATATTTGGAAGAGCAAGGCTGTGTCCTGTTTAGGTTCCCCGAAGCAGATAAGGAGATCCCCTTGGAGTTATGAGGTGAGAGCTCTTTTAGGTTCCTTTAAGATATTGTTAGCCAGGTATGGAGCCCACACTTGTAATCTCAGCACTCTGGGAGGCTGAGGCAGGAGGATAGCAAGTTTCAGCCCAGTTTAGACAATTTAGTAACTTGTGAATACCCTATCTCAAAGGCGGGGTGGGAGGATTAGCTCAGTGCAAAGGATATAGGCTCAATGCCCAATACCAAAAATGATATTTAAAAAAATCTTCTGAGCTGGGCATATTGGTGCATGCCTGTAATCCCAGAACTTGGGAGGCTGAGGCAGGAGGATCGTTGAGAGTTTGAGGCCAGCCTGGGCTACAAAGTGAGCTCAAGCCCAGCCTGAACTGCAAAGCGAGACCCTGTCTCAAAAAGACAAAAATAAACAAATAAATAAATAAATCTTCGGATGTGGGAATTTGGCATAATGATTGTATTATGAGTGCTGGGGAGAGGAGCAGTGGGGAGCGGGATCTGGTGTGGAGCATGTTTTCATAGTCCTACTTAGGCCCCATCTGCATTATGGACATGATCAGATGTCTTTTTTTTTTTTTTTGAGGTGCTAAAGATCAAGTCCAGAGCCTGAAGTGTGCTAGGCAGGTGCTTTACACACTGAGCTACATCACCAGCCTGTGGATATCTTTATCAGAGGTCAGAGCTAGCCTCTCAAACCCACATCCAGGAACCAAAGACATCTACACTGGGAAGGGCACTTCTTGTCTCTCTTCCCTCACACACTTGGAAAGATCTAATAGGAGAACCCCGGGGCATTTCCCCATGAAATGGGCAAAAAGAAGGAAAAGAGCCAGGAAGTCGCCACATCTCTGTACGTCCACTGTAGCCCCTCCAGCAGGGGACCACATCTATAAATAGCAGAACAGACAGCAGAGCACAAAGAGAGCCCAGAAATCCAGAGTCCAGGTTCTGAGGTCATGTTGGCAAGGACAGCCCTCTGGCCTCGGGAAGAACAGAGAGGCGAATGTGGTGGTGCGTTTAGGGGGCTGCGGGTAGGCAGGAGGCATTCGGATGAATGGCCAAGGACGCTAATGAATCTCTCCCAGGTTCTGGTTGGGAAGCAGAGGAAGGAACTTAATGGCATCTGGAAGTAATGGCCATACTGAAGTCCCCTTTTCACCACCTCTGTGTTCCTCTCTGGGAAATAATTCCAGCGGGCTTGTGCTTATCTGCAAGTCGGGAACAATTGTGAATTATTAATTCGTAATGAAGGCCGTTGATTGTGACCATTGCTCTCCAGTGAACCTGGGAGACAGAAGGCAGCTTCACTTAGCCCCTGCCCTCTGTAACAAGCAAACTGAGGCGCGGCCCCTCGTGAAGGCGGCCCTTTAACCCGGTCACATGTGGAATGGTTGCCTCATTATTGGTCAAGCCATGCTGCACCTCACAGAGTATTTGGGCTCAGTACAACCACCTCCCATTAACTTCAGATTTCAGATGCTTTTTGGGCTTGGTTCCTGGAGACAGAGGAGAGAAGGGGAGAGAGAAGGCACAGGAGTGAGAGGCTTCAACAGGGGCAGCAGCTCGGCCAAGCTCTATGTGGAGACAAAAAAAGGCCAGGTGGCAGATCTCCCAGGCTCAATTGGATCAACTCAGGCACTATTGGATCAAGAGTGGACGTTCTGCCTCTCTTACCCTCAAGAGATGCTGGTCTCTCAGCCCTCTGAATACACACTTGGCCCCTTTTTCTGATCCCCACCGGGCTCCGTGCCCCCTCTGCTCTAGGCAGGCACAGGCTTTTAGACACACTATGCTCTCTCAGGTGGGGACATAGTTTCTGCCAGTTGTGTCACGTGCGTAAGGCCCAAAGAGAGAGAAAACGCTTCTATCCCAAGAGATGATGCCGTTCTAAATCCCTGCCTTCAGTTCACCTCCCCCAGCATGAAATAGTTCACTTCATCCTCCCTGCCCTCTCCCCTATCCTCTGGAAATACAAAAAGTTGAAGGCAGGAGAGACAGCTCCCATTGCTGCGCCTACAGAAAGAGACAGAAGTAGGAGATGAAGAGAAGGCTTCAGACCTGCGGCTTCCGCAAGCTTTAGCTCCATGCTTCAAACTCAGGTCAACACCCTGGAACCGGGATTGGTGGACACCTGTCCCACCGCTCTCTTTCACAGGCCTTTTTTCGTCTGTGAAGCCAGCACGGCTCCAAAATCTTTATCTAAGAACATTACTGCGTTCCAAGCCACATTCAGTGCTGTCTGATCCAGAGGAAGCCAGGGGTCCAGCCAGTACCACTGGCCCCACCATCCCTCCGTCCAGACCTCGCCTGCCTTTCTCTCAAGCTACCCATGCATCCCGTGCTCTGCCCTGAGCCAGGAGACAGGAAGCCCATCCGGAGGGTTCTCCTGAGCTAGCTGTTTAATGTTCTGTTAGATGCTAAAAAGAGACCTTGGGAAAAAAGAGAAGGAGCAACTGCGCCTGGCATCCTCCCCACCTGCTCATCCTCTGGACGTTGGCTTTCTCGATGAAACAGTGCGCTGTTGTTCTTGGACAACCATTCCCCACCATCTCTGTTCGAAGGTTTTGAGTTTCACCCTCCGTTCACCCCCATTAATCACCCCAGCCGCTAAACATCACCCAGCCCCCTCTAGCCCTTTCTCTTCTTCTTGCCCTTAGTATTCATGGCGGAGCATTCCTCAGCGCTGCAGACCTGACAAAGACCCCTCTTCCAACACGAGGTCCCTCCCCCTGCAGCTCCCCGGGCCACGGTAGGCACTGTTCACTGTGCTGGGTGTTCCCACTGGCAGCTCACACTCCTGACCCACTCCCCGGCTTTCACAGCCATTGCCCCATCCCCACACACATTTCCACTCACCAGCTCGCCATCTCCTCCCTCGGGCACCGCATCCAGACCCCGCACACCCTCTTCCATCTCTCCGTGTTCCACCGTTCCTTCCTCCACGCCCCATCCGCCCCGAGCCCCCATCAGCCTTCCCACACTTCTCTTCTCTTTCCCTCCCCCAAGGCCTTTCCCAGCTCCTTCAGATGATGGCTTTGAAGCTATTCCTCCCAGCCTTCAGAAGCTGAGAGGCAGTGTAGCCCAGTGGTTAGTCAAAACCATGGGTTTTGGATTCAGATCCCAGCCCTGACACTTGCTAGTTGAACAGCTGTGGGCAAATTACTTAACCTCTCTGAGCCATCCATAAAATGGACATACCCACTGACCTCACGGAACTGTGTAGATCAGATTAAATTTTATTTGCATAGATCCAAGCATTCAGCAGGGGCTTGATAAATGGGAGTTATTAATATCAGAAGCTTCTCCTGTAGAAAGAAAGGGATGTTCTTTGGGTTCCAACAAAAGCGAAGGAGTTGCCCACTGCCACCCCTGAGAGGGTGGGATGAAGATGACTTCATCCTACGGATAAACAGGGCCCATTTGCCGGGAAGCCATACTCTTCTGTTAGTCCTAGAGGATCTCAACTTTGGCTGCACATTGGAACCCCCTATGCCCTGGGGAGTTTAAAAAACTCTGATGCTTGGACCCACCTCCAGAGATTCTAGTTTGTTTTGCCTACAGTGAAGTCTTATCATCTGAATTTAAAAAAATGAATGAATGAATGAATGAAAATCTCCAACTGCTGACGTGCAGCCAGAGACTGAGATGAGGCCCTAGGAAGGGGGACACAAGAGGTATCACTGGTGTCACAGGTGTGTTCCTGCCAGGGGAGGTAGAGAAAGGATGCTATCAACATGGGTTATCTACTCTCCACCCACACTGCTTCGATGGGGAAAGTTGTCACTCAGGATAAGCTCTTCCCTGGGCGTGGTGGTGCAGGCCTGTAATCTCAGCACTCGGGAAGCTGAGACAGGAGGATTGTTGCGAATTCAAGACCAACCTGGGCTAC